TCCAACTTTTTATAGTTGTACAGTACAAGGAGAAGTTGGGGAGGGGAAAAGAAAATTTTCCAGTAATACAGTGGAATTCTGTGAAGCTACATTTTTCTTAAAAAATAAAAATAAAAACCAAAACAATCATGGAAAATCTCTATGTCCTCACACAGAAAGGTCGCTCAGAAATATAGTAGAATGGAAAGCAAACAAACAAAAGCCCAAGTTTCAGAACAGTGCATTTTATCCCACCCTGTATGAAATACTTTCAAAATGTGTGTATGGCTTTTAGTGATAATTCACGGAAACTTCTCTGAAATTGCAGGCAAATCACAGAATGGAGAAGTGGGATTCCCTTATGCATTAGACGTTGCAATATGGTATGTATTTGTAGGATCAGGAGATATTATTTTCATGGTCTTTGCAATTACTTGCTACGCATTGGAGAGCTAGACAATGACTAGGGATGATAGAAGAATTGATGCCTTTGAGCTGTGGTGCTGAAGAGTATTGAATGTACCATGGACGGCTAGGAGAATAAACAAGTTTGTCCTGGAGAGGGTGAAGCTGGGGTGCTCCTTGGAGGCAAGGATTCTGAAGCTTTGTCTGACATACTTTGGACATACTTTGTCTGACATACTTTGGCAAGGAGGGATCAGTCCTTAGAGAGGGATGTTCTGCTTGGGAGGGTGGAGGGACAGCACAGGAGAGGAAGACCCTCAATGAGATTAATTGATTCAGTGTCTGGGGTAATGGGGGTAAGTGTGTCAGAGACAATAAGATTGACACAGGATAGAGCAGGGTTTAGGGCTGTTGTACACAGGTTTGCTATGAGTCGCAGGGGACTCAACAGCACATAACAACAACAAAAAATTTATAAATATTATGAGATATTTATTACAGCCGTTTTTGAAAATTAAAAAGGAAGCAACAGTGGCTTCTCTAAGTGGCTCCATGGAGCAGAAATCAAGTGCTCCAGTCCCTCTGGGTCAGTGTGTGCCTAATGGGCCAGCGACACTTGTTCCCACCCACCTTGTCCTTGCTCAGCCTCTTTCCTGATTTGACCGGGGATGGCAGTGAGGGTTTGTGACAGGTGCCAGTGGTAGGTGCGATGACAAGCCCCACACCTCACTTGTTCCATTACTTCCAGCTCCTCGCTGCCTTTCCAGTCACTGTGGTGAAAGGTTCTTTCCCTTATCTGTACAAAGCAGGAGTCAAAAGTTCCCGCCGGGTGACTGCAGACTGTGGGCTGGAAAATGTCCCGATAATACCTAAATTCCTTCAAAAGAGTGCAGCCTGGACCCGTGTCAGCATAGCCCTGTGGCTTCAGTACACTTTGTACTGTGCACTTGGACAGTAAACCAGATGAGAGGTGGAAATAAAAATTTAAGGGACTTATAAGGATGCCAGTAGAATCCCATCTGGATGGGTAACCCCACTCCCTGAGCCAGCTTCTCCATCCCCCCGAAAAGACCATACAGACAGCAAAGGAAGCGGACTCTTCACGTGTGAGAGACACAGTAGACACACGGGCAGAAAGAATAAAAATAAAATCCCACTGGTAAAAATGAGCACCGCGCTGACGTTTCTGAGACACATTTACGGCTTTTTATAAACAATTATGCATTCGTTGAATGGGGCTGTGGGACACTCTGGCAACATTGGCAAATTCTGACATTTGGGAGTTTGAACTTAGTAGCTGTTCTTATCCTTACTAGCAAAGTTTACTAAATATTTTGTGCTTTGTGTCCGCTTTGGATTTGAAGATGATGCTTATGGAATGCTGGCCTTTCAATTGCGTCTCTCCACGTAAAACACAGAGGAGAGGGTGGCACTCTTCATCTTCTGGTCCATCCCCTTGGCTGCAGCCTGCCTCCAGCATATTCACATCCACATTTCATTTTGAATCCTACAAGTTCACCAACAATAATTGAGCTCTATAATTTATCTCTGCCTGTCTTTTTTACATGAGGTCATGAGTTAGAATCAACTCAATGACACCTAACAACATACAGACTCTGTCCATTTGCGATTGACTTCCTTCAACAGAATGTCCCCAAGGTCCATCCACGTTGAAACATGCATGAGGATTGTATCTCTCTTTCTGACTGAGTACTACCCAAATAGTGTCTGAACTTTACTACTTGAAAAAGAGAATGATCAGGCAAATGTATGTTGCTGTTGTTAGACGCCATTGAGTCAACTTTGACTTTTAGTGTCGGTCAGTCTGTCTTGTTAAGGGTCTTCCTGTCTTTCTCTGACTCCCCACCTTTCCCAGAAAGATGTTTTTTTCCAAGAACTGGTCTTTCCTAACAACATAAAAAGGACAGAAGGAGAGTGGATGCTTTAGAGCTGTGGTGCTGGAGAAGGGTACTGAATGTACCATGGACTGCCAGGAAAACAAACAGATTCATCTTGGAGAGGATTAAACCAAGCTACTCCTTGGAGGCAAGGATTCTGGGGCTTCGTCTGACATACTTTGGACATGTTGCCAGGAGGGACGGGTCCTTGGAGAGGGACATCATGCTTGGGAGGGTGGAGGGACAGCGCAGGAGGGGAAGACCCTCTATGAGATGAATTGATTCGGTGACTGGGGTAATCGGGATGGGTGTGTCAGAGGCGGTGCAGTTGGCGCAGGATAGAGCAGGGTTTAGGGCTGTTGTGCATAGGGTCACTATGAGTCGGAAACGACTCAACGGCACATAACAACACAACAACAAGACAGCTTCACATTGTTGCTAATGAGCAAACTAGTTAAATTTCCTCTAAAAGAGACCTGTTTGTTCTATTTACAGTCCCTGGAATATTGCGTATTCTTCTTCAACATCACAATTCTTAAGCATCCATTCTTCTTCTGTTGTCTTTATTCATTGTCAAACTTCCAGATGCATAGGAAGCATTGAAAAAAACTATGGCTTGGCTTATTATGTTGTATGCACTGGAGTCGGAACCAACCTATAGCTGACCCTCCAGTGAGCTTTCAGAGGCAGTTAATTGCATGGGAGGAGACTGCCCATCCTTCCCCCTCAAAACAGCTGGTGGATTTGCACCTCATGTCTTTGAGATTGCAATGCAGTTTCTTACCACTAGGATATCAGAGCTCCCTGTGGTTTGGATTAAGCATACTTTAGTCTTTCAACTGACATTCTTGTTTTTTAGCAATTTGGAGAAGCCCTTGACAGTAGATTTTCTTTCTCAATACAATGAGTCTTTGGATTTCTTGACTGCTGTTACTATGGATGTTGATTATGGATCCAAGTAATACAAAATCGATGACATCGTCAATCTTTCCTCCATCTATAATGATTGTTGCCTACTGGTCCACTGGTGAGGACTTTTGCATTTTCTTGATGTTGAGATGTAATCCATATATAAGGATGTAATCTTTGATCTTCTGCAGCAAGTGCCTCAAGTCCTCACTTTATGTAAGTAGGATTGTGTCATCTGTATAACAGCTTATTAAGGAGCTGTCCTCCTCATGTCCTATTCTTCCTCATATAGTCCCGCTTCTTGAAGTCTTTGCTCAGCATACAACTTGACTAAATATGGAGACCAAAATTTATTAGAGGAAAGAGAGAGAAGTATTACTGCTTATGGAGCACTGAGTTTCTTTCTGTTCATGGTAAAAAGACAATCTTAAGAGTACTGTATGAACCACTGATTGATGTAATTATTGTCACTAAATTGTATATCTATAATAAATTTAACTAGCAAATGCAGTATGATACATACATACATACATACATATATACACACTTTCATAAGAGCAACAACAACATAAAATTAGCTGTTTAAGTTTCTTATATACAATATGAAGTTCATGGTTCAGAGGTCATGAACTCCTAGTTAATTGGCGGAATGGCTGTGTTCTAATTTCTGGTTTGTGGTGTATATGTTATGCAGTCTTAAAGCCTGGGAATGGCCATTCAAGCTCACAACAACTATTGATTTCTATTTATATGGAACAGAGGAAAACAGAACAGTCAAGAATGGGAGAAAGAAATGGAATATGAGACTAATTGCTTCCATGAACAATTGACCCTTTGCCATGAGACCAGAAGTACTGGATGAACACACAGCTCAAAGATTCTTAGAAGAATCATGATCAAAAGAGTTGAAAATGTCGGACAGAAATTCAACTCTCAGACTTACTGGAATAATTGAGTCTGAATAAGCCCCCAAAACTAGTGCCCTGAGATGATCTTTAACCTGCAACCATAAACCAAAATTACTCCCTGAAGCCTTCCTTAAATAAATAGTTTTATTTGGAAAGATTATCCCTGATGACTATTGTACTTTTTAAAGAATTTACTATATGGGATCAAATTGCTAGCAGCAACTCCAAACATTAGCTAGACAATAGGAGAAAGTATGTCTACATCAACATGAAAGGAACAAGCTAGACGGAAAAGGAAGGCACGAATGGCTGCAAAATGTGAAGGTGTTATCAATGTCACTGTATTATACATATTGGAACTGTTGACTTGGTGTAGATTTTCAACAACAGTTGTAAAAAGTAGGTTCACCTATACCCTAGCCACCAGTTGCTGCCAAATCAAATTCATCTTATGGTGATCCATGTGCAGCAGAGCAGAACTGGGCTCTGGAGGGTTTTCAGTGGTTTCTGAAGGAGATTCCCAGTTCTTTCTCCTGAGGTACTCTGAGTGCCCTTGACCCTCCAACTTCTTATTGAGGAGCTGAGCACATTAACCACTGCACCACTCAGGGACTCCCAGGTTCACATAGAAAAGTGGAAGAAAAGAATAAACCAGTACTAAAGTTTAACAAATAACGATAGGTCTTTATTATATCACTCATTTTTAACCCCCACCAAAGCAGATCACTTTTATAAGCCAAAACCCCCATTTGGAATAAATAGATGAAAAAGTCCTTTCAAATATACCTGTACTTTCATCTTAAACTTAAACAAAGCTAAGGAGAATTGTATATGCTTTTTCCAAAAAAAGGCCTTTGGATGCTCCTAGGCCCTGACCTAGTTCTGTTTCTCCCTCGCCCAGGTAACCAGGTGAACTTCTCCAAGCCTGCCGATGCATTTGCATTTGAGGAGGACAGCAGCAGTGATGGCCTTTCTCCAGATCAGACACGGACTGAAGACACCCAGGGTCCTGTGGGATCTCCTGTAGACACCAAAACTGTGGAGACCCCCGGGGCAGGCCCTCTGGGGGTGGCTCAGGTAAACAAGCCACATATTGGTAGATAATATCTTTATAGTCTTAGAAAGCAATGTACCGTGGATGATTTGTTTAAAGACTCCAGAGGTCTCTCTTGACCGTGAGTCATCTTGGAGCCTCTACTCACTCTTTTCAGTCCAGAACTAAAAGCCAAACAGTTGCTGCTTAGTTCCCTGGCGTTCCGAACTATACTCTCTGTAGGGTGACCTTTCAGCAGCAGATGGCCAGGACTTTCTTCTGACGCACCACTGAGGAGTTAGAACTGACAACCTTTTGATTAGTAGCCCAGTGTGTAACCATTTGTCACCCTCGGTCCAGGGTTGGGTATACAGTAGCAAAAATCTCAGAAAGCACTGAAATGAAATTCCCAGAAATACAGTCTTCTAGGTACTTACCGAATATCTACTTAGTAGATAGGTTTTGACATCATTTTCAAAGACTCAAAGAGATTAGGTAGTTCTTGTCCATAGGTCCCTGGCTAGAAAATTCTGAAGCAAAATTGGCTTCAAGGTGAGCACGGAGTTCTTGGGGAAGGGGAAGGGGGAAAGAGTGCGTTTGGCTACAGAGGAGAGGGTCCGTGACCGAGCCACAAGGAACAATGTCCCTCAACCCAAACACAGTGCCCAGCTCTTTATAAACAAACCCGCAAGGACTGAGGAGCAGATGTTGAACCAGACGTTGAATCTGACTTTGCGAGCACGTTTACAAGGAATAATAATGCTAATGACAGCTGCAGTATGCCCTTCTGCTGGGCACTTGACAGGGCCTTCTCATGTGATGTTACAGTATCTTCCAAAAAGCCCAAAACGAAGCCCACTGCCAGAGATTCATGGTGGCCCTTCAGGACAGAGGAGACCCGCCAGAGAGTTGCAAAGATCCACCCAGGGTTGCAAAGTTCTAAAGAGGTAGACTGCTGCCGCTTTCTCTCGCAAAACAAAAGTAGCTCGCAGACCTCTCTTTTAGTTCATTTTAGTGTAAAAGTTTTGCTGAAACCTCTTCAGTGTCACAGACCCATGCAGGTGGCCAACTGACAGGCAGATGGGTGGAGGCTGCGTCTTAAGTGCTTTGACCAGAACGGGACCCAGGTCTCTCACCCACGATAAGAATCATGACACTGAAGCATCGCTACTCCCCACCTTCCTCAGCCTCGCCGGGCAGTTTAGAGGGAGCCCCCACGTAGAGAGGGGTCTGGGCATCCACACAGAGTGAGGTATAAGCTCTTGAAGCCCCGGCTCTGCCACTTCCTTCTGTTGTCAGTGCCCTGGAGTTGACTATGATGTGCAGTGAGCTTCTCTGCACAGTGGATCTGAACTGTGCCCTATCTTGTACCATCCTCACCCTCTCTGCCACACTTGAGCCCAGTCACTGCTCCAGTCACTGTGTCAATCCTCATTGAGAGTCTTCCCCTCCTTCACTCTTCCTCCAGTTGGCCACTTACTGGCTGTGGACAAACCCTCCTGACCTCTGCCCTCATCCCTATGAGAAGAATGAGTTTCCTCCTCTTGCCTCACTCAGTCATCTGATTGACTGAAACTGGTATCAAGCCTGCAAACATTCGACTGTGAAACACCAGACAGATATCCGAGGTGGTTCGAATAACTAGTATCAGGGACCCCCTTTCTGGAAGCCTCATTCCTGAAGGCTGTCATTCTGCCTTCCACTCCTTTGACACAAAGACTCCGAAGCAGCCAAGGAAAAGCATGCAGGATGGGAGGCAGAGGGGTGGCACAAAAGCAGAGCAAATATTCACATGCTTGTTGTGCAAGAGTTTCTAATCAAAGCGTTGTTCCTTCCCCTGCATGCCACGGCTGCTGTCTGCAGCCAGACTTCTTCGATAACATCAAACAGTCTATCAGGCCATGGGTATGGGTTATCCTGACAGTAAATTCCTCCGTATATGATTTAAGAACGGTTTGAAAGGAAAAGTTCTTTCTGCTTAACGCTGAGGAAGGGAGGTTGGCGTCAGGGGGGAGGAGCGCTCACTGAGCAATGCCAGGCAAAATGCAGAGCTCGTTTTGTTTCATTTCCTCCGGCAACCCCATTTGTCAAACGAGGGAGCTGATGCTCTGAGATCTTTATGGTAAGATGCTCAGGGATGGGGGTCTCCTTTCAGTTCCATTTCTGGAGGTCCTGAGCAGCCCCCGACCTGCTGCTGAAGGTCAGAATCACAGAGCAAGAGTGTGGGAGAGGTGGCAAGGGAAAGAGGAGTGCATCTCACAATAACTCTGTGTAACTCTGGCACACAAAAGTCTGAGCCGGTCAGGAATAACAGGCTGGAAGTTCAAACCCACCCACAGGCAGAACAAAGGGCTGGCAACCTGCTTCAGCAAGGCCATGGCCTCAGAAACCCCTTGGAGCAAGTCTGCTCTGATGCACACAGGGTCTCCTGCCCTGGAATTAACTCAACAGCTGCTGGCCTTAGCGTACACATTTGATCCTGTCCTCAGTCTGCGAACCTTTTCCTTCCTCCTCTTCCCCCAAAGTTCCTACACCTGGCCCCCCTCTTTTACTGCCCCTTTATCAAGTTCACCAGGTGGAGCTTGTCCCAGAGAGGTGGGCCCTGCACTCAGGGTGAGCAGACGTCCAGGTCTACCTGGGGCAGATGAGCGTCATACTTGAGTTCTGAAATCCTTATTGGCTCAGCTCCCCTCACTCTCTGGAAAGTGCTGATGCAGATGATAAAGTCGAGGCAGGACTGGACTCCTTAGCGAGGGAGGGCTGCCATCTGCTGGGGTGAGAGGCCCACATTAAGCTGAGATTCAGGGGCTCTGCATTAACGTTAACCTTTCCCTATCACAGAACACTCCCTCCCCATAATAATGCTGATGTTTGGGTTTCAGGATCTTACTTCTGGCTCAGAAAATGACAGGAGTGACTCAGCATCACAACCAGGCAGCCAATCAGACACCAGGAAGCAGGGCCTTGGTCCCCTCAGTGCCCCAATGTCTGTGCATGCTGCTGTCAAGGTAAGGACTAGCCTGCATGTGCCCAGCACGTTACTCTAGCACACAGCCTGCAGGCCCAGGGTTTCTCCCAACATGAGGGGGCTGTGGGGACCCAGGCCTAGGTGCAGTCCACAAGGAGCATCCCAAGGCAGGGAGCTGAGACACCACTGCCAGTGGATGTGGACTATGATTCTCTTATCCCTACACCACACTATGGGCTTCCCTGCAGCGCAGTGACTGACTTGGTGCCCCTCATGGTGTCAGACTAGAACTGTGCTCCATGGGGGGACTTTCATTGCCTGATCTGGGGGGAGTCGATTGCCAGGCCTTTCTTAAGAGGCACCATTAGTAGAAGTGGACTTCCAGTCCTGGTTAGCAGCCAAGTGAGTTCACCACGTGCACCATCCAGGGTTGGTGGTCGGATGATAAGGAGTTGCACTGCCATGCCGAAGACCTGGGTGACTGACAGACAGCCTCTGAGAATCTGCTGGAGGATCAACTAGGAGTCAGTTCTGACTCTACGGCACCTAACAGTGACATCATTATCATCCTCCTCCTCCTCATTTTATAACTGCCTACCCGCCTGCAGGTGGCGCATTCTCATCTTTCTCCCTAAAACCCATAGATGATGGGTTGTGTCTGATCCACGACTGCCCCTAGTGTTCCTGAGTGGAACTGCTGCACCAGACCTTCTTGCCCATATTCTTTTTTTTTCTTTTTTTTTAATTAAAAAAAAAAAGTGTGCATTGCTACACACTTTTAAATTGAGACCGTGCTTAGAAACACATTCTTTTGCCGTCATTTGCGTCAAGGTGTTAATGAAAGTTTACAGAGACTTAGGGTTTCCAATCTTTCATTGCTTGTTTCACTTTTCTCCCTATCCACCTTTCCCCCCCAATTCTCTCTTCTCCTTGAAAAGAAAGAAAAACTCTTTCATTGCTATGCAGTCCCTCCCCCGCCAAGTCCACTCACTCCAGGATGTTCTTCTGCCGTGGCGCCACTGCTCTGAAACTGCCCCGGATGCTAACCAGAAGGTTAGCAGTTCAAGTCTACTTGGTGGTCCCTTAAAAGAAAGGGCTGGCGATCCATTCCCCAAAGTCAGCCATTGAAGACGCTGTGGGAGATAGATGGGATAGAGATGATAGAGATAGAGATAGAGAGAGAGAGAGAAATTAAAAAGGAAACTTTGTGGTGACCAGATCTACACTGATACGCATGGGATTACCAAAGTCAGTCAGTTGGATGGCAACTGGCCTTAACCACATGACTATCCCCTGAAGGGTCCCTGGTAGTAACTGCTGATGAAAAGGATGTAAGAAGCCATCAGCTACTCAGGAGAAGTTAGGGCGGTATGCTTCTGTAAAAACTCTCATTGGCAGAAGCCATCATCATGTCAACTACAGCTCACAGCAACCCTATGAAAAATAGATCTGAACCCTGCCCTGCCCCGCGCTATCCTCACATCACAGCCACACTTACGCCCATCACTACAGTCACTGTGTCAATCCATCTCACTGAGAGGCTTCCTCTCTCTCTGGCCTTCCACCTTCCCCAGCTTGATACCCTTTTCTAAGAACTGGCGACAACATGCCCAGTGTTTCATCATCCTTGCCTCTAAGGAGTATCCTGGATTAATTTCAACCTTGAAAATCCTAGGAAGCAATACTACTGAACATGACAACGGTTTTAGGGGTTCCACCTAACAATAATGGGTTTTATTTTGAGGCTTGGGATGTTGGAGTTGTTGGTTTGGGGTGGTTTGGGGGCTTTGGGGTGTGGTGTGTATGTGTGTGTGTGTGTGTGTGTGTGTGTGTGTTTCCGTGACTTTTGGGCTAAAAAAAAGTATATAGTTCTATGCATCCAGTTCTCTCTTTGCCCTCATCATCTTAATCCGAGAAAATAGTCCCCTTCTGAGTTCTTGTACTGTAATGGTGAAGAGGGGGCCAGGACTCCATCCCTGGCTTAGCAGCTAGACCCAAGGCTTCAGTCCCTGTCATTCCCCAGGCAAGACAAGCCTTAGGATGCAGTGGGAACAGAGACTAAGCTGAAGCAGAATGGCAGAGCTGGTGGTAGATGCTTCTGGAAATTCTCCTCGTTCATGTGCAAGAGGCTGGCTGCCTAATTAACTAGACCGTTAGTCACTGAATTTGATCACAGCGCACTGGAATACTTGTGCTCATTATTCTTTAGTCTCCAGGAAGAAAGCTTTTGGAGAAAAGAGCAGAGCCTTCAGGAGTGTAAAGCATTGACTCACAGAAAAACAGGTTGTAGGTTTCTTTGAAAAAGGTCATATTGAGATGTGTATTTTGCGACTGAAATGGGGAGGCAGCCTGTCAAATGATGCCTGCCAGTTATTCACGGGCTCCCTCTCCTGGACACTCTTGGCATCACATAATCTCTCTACATTTTCCCAAAATTCATTCTAATTTTTTTTTTCAACGTTTGCTAATAAAGTCAGAGTTTGACATTTTACATTTAGCTGCTTAAAGTATGTATGTATGTATCTCTTTATAATATATGAAATCCTTTTAATTTTGGAATGTGAACAGATACTGAGTCAGCTCTGGCATGATATATACTATGATAGAATGAGTGTTCTGGTGTGATAGAATCAACTGTCTCTCAGTCTTTTGTGATTTTCGTTATCAGTGGAATGTCTGAGTCTATCGGTGCCGCTATTGTGAGCCTTCCACTTCGGAGACTTGATGTCTAACACTACCACACAGTATTCTGTTATGACTCACTTAGTTTTCATTGGTCCATTTTCAGAAGTAGACTGTCAGGATTTTCTTCCTACTTTGTGTTTGGAAGTTCCACTGAGATCTGTCCACCCTCAGAGGCTGCTGGCACTGTTTGCAAGGTCTGTGTTATGCACTAACGGTTTCCAAGGGAGCCCTGGTGGCCTAATGTTTAGGGAGTTATGCTGCCAACCCAAAGGAGGGTGGTTTGAACCCAGTAACTGCTTTGCGAAGAAAGATGGGTAATGTCCTCTTGTGTGATTTACAACCTCTAAACACCTGCTGGAGGGTCAGGTATGAGTCAGTTTCAACCCAACAACAGCAATGAGGCTGAGAAACCGTTCCCTTGAGTCTTTTCATTTCTTCCTTTTTCTTTGCTTCAGACAGAGAGAGCACCTCAGAAATTGCCTGGATTTTTTCTATGGAGTCACTTGGTAGATTTGAACTACTGAAGATTTGCAGCCTTTGATTTAGCAGCATAGCTTGCTAGGCACTATGCCACTAAGATGCTTTCTTAAGTGCCTAACTAAAAGGGGGCTCCGGTGGCCTAGTGGCAAGAAGCTGCACTGCAATCCCAAAGGCACGCAGTTCGAGACCACCAGCTGCTCTGTGGGAGAAAGATGGATAATCTCCTCCCATGTGATTAACTGTTTCTGAAAACCCACCAAAGGGTCAGCTGTGGGTTGTTTCCGACTCGACGGTAAACAACAACAACAACTAAAATTCATCACAATATGCATAAGAAAGAAGTTAAGGATAAATCCTAAAATATGAACATACACTTTACCAGGTCATTAGGTGGTTGGGCTTAGGAAAGAGCACTCGCAAAAGCAAATTCATCCATCTGGTTCTATTCCTCAACAGCATCCAAGACCCATGAACTTGGCCCAAGGTGCGTCATTGCAGGGTGATGCATTTCTATTTCACTTACAACATTGATGTTCGAAGTATACATTACATTCTTATTTTCCTTTGCAGCTCAGGCCTTTGCTATCTTTGGGGGTCACTATTTCTGGGCTTAAGAATTCCCATCAAATGAAACCTCCCAGTGTATCCATGATATTCCCACATATTTCCATCCATCTTCTTAAGCACATGCTGTGTCCCCTTTGCAGTCTAAGTCCTTGAGTGACAGTAAGAATCGCCACAAAAAGCCCAAGGATCCCAAGCCCAAAGTGAAGAAGCTCAAGTACCACCAGTACATCCCCCCGGACCAGAAGGCAGAGAAGTCGCCGCCCCCCATGGACTCAGCCTATGCCCGCCTGCTCCAGCAGCAGCAGCTCTTCCTGCAGCTGCAGATCCTCAGCCAACAGCAGCATCGCTTCAGCTACCCGGGCCTCCACCAGGCCCAGCTCAAGTAAGTCAGGCCAGGTGTGGCCGCGGGCAGGGGCGGGCGGGCCAGCACGTGGGATGCCCCAGCGACTCTCCTCTTCCACCCCAGCCTGACTCAGCAGGTCTAGAGACCATGCACACCATACAGGTGCATGAGGCCAGGACAAAAGCCACGAATCAATACCCCTGATGAGAGATCTTTAAGAAGTGGGACTGGTGAGGCGGAGCTCTGCCAAACTGAGCCAGGGAACAGAAAGGAGAGACTGTCTAAGAATGCAATATGAGAACTGTGACGAGCAATTCCAATTACAGGCCACGAGCCATATTTAGCTCATGACTGAAGCTTTGGGAAGCAGTAGAGCCGAATGGCCGAATGGTAGCTTTAAACCCTGGCCTAGGTTTTGTGACCACACTGCTAGGTCTCTTTTTAAATGATCCATTTCCTCAACTATACAGAAACAATGTGGGTCCCCTCATTTATCTCTGTCTGTCCTTGGGCTTTGCGGCAACTCTACCTAGCGCTGCACAGTCTCCTTGTCAACCACTGATGGGCACACACCTCCCCACACCAGTCTTCACTACTCCCTCTCATTTCCCCAAAGCTAAGTCAGAGTGTCACTTGGCCTCTGGTCGACACTGTTTTCTACACCCCGCCTGCCTGACACTTCTAACCAGTTCACTTCTGATCTCACTCTCCATGAAAGTTGCACCACATTTATTTGCCAGTGTGGTAAATTGCTCCTTCATTTGCCTCTTGGTTTGTCTGACAGGGAAACCAATGAACAGATGGCCAGAAATTCAAGCACGCCTTCAACGCCGCTGAGCAACACGCCTTTGTCTCCTGTCAAAAATAGCTTTGCTGGGCAAACTGGCATCTCTTCTGTCAAGCCAGGCCCCCTGCCATCAAATCTGGATGACTTGAAGGTAGAGCACCAAACGTTACATTTTCTTTTTTCACAAATGCACTGGTGTGTGGGGAGCAGTAAGTACCCTTACTATTTCCTGAGTGAAGCAGGGAGAGGGAGAGTTGAGCCTCCCTGGGGTGATTTTCTGTGTGGCTGAAAACCCACCCAGCAGCCCACACCCAGCTCCACTCTTCCACTAGCTCTACCTCCTTGGGCTGGTTTCTAAATTCCTCTGCATTTCAGGTTCCTCATTTGCAAAACTGAATTTGTATGCAGATTAAATGGAGTAACAGTTCAGAAAGTGAACACTCCATGTTTGTGAGATTGGACCATGATTCCTGAACATTCTAAATCTTTTTCCATGTGGAACTTTCTCCAATTTTTGGTGAAATAAGAGTATTAAAAGTCCCAAGAAGAGCTATAACAAGGAGAGCTCTTTATCAACCCAAATGTGTCTAACACATGCAGCCTTGCTTCAGAGTTTATATTTCCACTCGTTGTTGTTGTTGTTGTTGTTGCTGCTGCTGTTGTTGTTGTTATGTGCCGTCGAGTCACTTGCGACTCATAGCG